TGTAGAGGTCTCCCCAAAGCCTCATGCAGGCACATGTGGGGCTTTTCAGAGGTGGCTGGATCTAGTGTGTGCAAGATTGTAATGGACTGTGTGATGAAGGCATCAAGGGTGCTTACATTAGTCCACTGATTGGTTTGGCATAGATTAGGGTGCGGATAATGGGCAGGCCCACCCTGGGTGATACTGCTACCCTCCCTAAGGGTGTGCAGCCCGGTTAGAATACGAGGCATAAAAGGAGCACTGCTGTGTTTGGTTATCGCTGCCTTCTTCCCTCCATGAACTGTTTCTCGTCTGTGATGCCCCTCCGCCATACCGTCCTGCCTTGGAACCGGTTGACTCTGCACTGAAACCTCTACAGACCGTGAGCTAAAATAAACCTTTCCTCCTTTAACTTGGGGTGTCCAGGATTTTGACTCAGCAATGGGAAAAGTAAGCAAGACAGCATCCTAACTATTCAGAAAGTTATTTTCATAATCCAGAGAAATATGTTTATAGTAGTCACCGTTAAGCCCTCTGCCATATTTGGGGAGAAAACAAGACCATTTACAAGTAGACGCACAGATCAAGGTGGGATTTTTTTTTACCTATGAAGATGGCTGTGTTTTACTCTGAAGAACAGATGTTAAGTAACAAGAATCCTTTCCTCTTTCTCCTTTTCTTCTCTTCCTCCTCCTCCTTCTGCTCCTCTTTCCTCTTCCTCTACCCCTGCTCTCTTACTGGAAGAGCACTCTGTGAAAGAGTCTCTCTCACTACGTGAGCCAAAGCTGCTGGGAGGATTTAAAAATGACTTTCCAGTCTCTGTGAGGCAGGAGCCACATTACACATTACGGTAGTCATTTCTCTTCCTACCTTAAAAAAGATCAAATCACCTTCGTTTACTCATGAGCCAAGAATGCAAAACACTTCACCTCTTTGATTCACCAGAGTGGCAGCATTTTGCTTGCCCCCATCCCCATGGAATAGTTTACAGGCAGAATTTAATATTTTCCAAAAAAGTTAACCAATTATACCTTGTTGTAATCCTTTTCTACCAAAGATAGAAAGGGTCATCTTGCTATGAAAATAGTGTCTGGTTGCAAAAACGAGCCCAAAGATAGGATTCTCATCTTAATAAGTTAATACATCCAGGTGTTTCTTCTTCTTCTTCCTCCTCCTCCTCCTCCTCCTCCTCCTCCTCCTTCAAAACCCAATTGCTTGCACTTACTAGCACACGCAACAAGTTACCCTGCACTATTTCCAGAACGAGCCTAACTGGAAACCCTGGTGGGAGGGAGAAACAGTTTTCTGGACATGCCTGGTCAGGGTGGCTACAGGAAGCTTTTCAATAGGCCAGGGTACTCAGTGAACACGAAACAACGAAGTGCATCTAAAGAAAGAAATCCCGACTGGCAATGATCTCAGGTAGCCACACCAAAGAGTCCATCCAGTGAGCTATTTTCTCTTCCAGCCTTCAGACTCCTCAAAGCAAAAATCCTTCCTTTGCACCACGTTTCTCCCCTTTGATGTGAGTAGAAAAGCTGGATTGCCTCTATTCTTACTCAAGTAGAAACTCTGGGTCTCAGGTTTTCTCATCTCCAAGTTTTAACTGATCGGCAAGGGCTCTCAGAGGGCTCAGACTACTTCATGAGAATTACAGCATTCTGCTAGAAGAATAACTGTCCATTCAAAAGAAATTCTCTCCTTCCAACAAAACACCCACGAAGAAGTAGAGCCATCTTGCTAAGAAGTCAGGTCATTCTCTGTGAATAAATTTCTTCTCCTGAGATACACAAAGTTAACACAATGCTCAACAAACAAACAAAACTCAACAAAGCTGATTTCTCCTCACCTTAGCAGGAAAGATGTGCTCAAAGGGAAAATATCTATTTATCAAATTTATAGATGGGTAAGGATATGAAGAAATAGATGGTCTAGAAGCTTTTAGTATAAAGATTTGGTGGGAGTTTTTACTATAATCACTTTTTTCCCTAGAACAGTGAGTTTGAGAGCAGAATTTGTCTGCCTCAGCTCTTCAGACACATTTTTAAAGACAATTCACTGTTGTACGCGTTGTTTTGTGCACTGTGGGATATTCAGTGCATCCAAAGCATTGGTCCCTGGAAGACAGTTGCATCCTGAGATGGACTAATCAAAAATGTTTCCAGGCATTGATGAATATCCCATAAGGAGAACAGTGAGGCTGTGTGATATACACTGCCTGGGACATTCAAAGCCTCCAGGACAAGTACACAAGAATGTGACCCAGTGTGGGTGCCAAAATGTGTTACACAAGATACCATACAAACACTTTATTCCCACAAGACCTCTGGAAGCAGATTTCTGCTCTCTAATAAACACTGTCTCCAGGAGAATGAAAACAGCTGACAGCTGGACCAGTCTCGACATAATAACTATGGGGTAATTTATCACCATAAGCTTCAACGAGATCTATGGAAGAAACCAAGGAAAAAGGAAAGACTCCAACCCTGAGTGTTCTAATGGGAACACAAGCCCACATCGCAGATACCTGAGTCTGGTGAAGAATGGGTGGCTTTCTTTTCCAACAAGGGTAAAGGCAAGATAAAGTGGGCTCCGTCAGGGGTAGAATGGAGTCAGGGGAGGGGCCACAGCAGGACTTCCCTTTATGGATTTTCAACTTGCCTCTATCTTCTTCTGTACTTTGCATTTTCCTACTTGGGGGAAAAACCATTTGCAGGTACTGTGCAAGGGAGGTCAGTGATAATTTTAATAGAATGTGTCATGAGAGAAAAAAGCGATTAAGAGATTACCCACACACTCTGTTTTAACAACTTCCTTTGACGTTTTACTCTGAGACAGAGTCATGCTAAGCTGTTCTCAGCTGCATGTGAACTTGAGATCTTTTTGCCTCAGTTTCCCCAGCAGCTGGGTTATAGGAGTGTCTCACCATGCTGGACTCACAAGTGCCCCTAATTCTCTCTCATCCTTGCAAGGTCTGTGCTTTTTTTACTGAACAACTTCTCAAGGCTAAGTAACCCTTCAACACACACCGGTTTTTGTGCAGAGAAAGATTTGAACCCAAGCAGTATGGAACTAAGATCTCCACCCTTACCCAGAGCACCAGCCACTGTCAAAGTGTTTTATCCTTGGGGATCCCTAAGATCTTTCCAGGATCTCTGGGAAGACATCAGCACTTTCATAATTCCAGGAAGGCATTCTTGGTTTTTTAAAGACAGGTCTCACTGTTTTCAAAATGCGTTTTGTGCGCATTCAAAAGGGAAGACAAAATCACCCTCACTAGAGAGGGCAACAGAAAGGGCCACTGGGTGCTGTGGTTTTGAAATCATTTTCAGTTTTAACTGCTAGCTAGGTATGAAGAGCAGTGCAGAGGACCCCACCGAAGAGCTTTGAAGTCCTCAACTCAAATGTACATAAGTCTTGAGAATACATCGAAGTCCTCAACTCAAATGTACGTAAGTCTTGAGAACACATCGTTTGACAATGGCTGGCCACTGTGTGTGTGTGTTGCAATGAGCAGGTTCCTAAGCAGATTTTAATAGCAAAAATAAAAAGAAGACCACAACACAGAAACAAACTTGAAAACACCAGGACACACTCAAAGCCATCTCCAGCCTCCCCTGGCAGAGACATTTTTTCTGTTCCATCTTTTCTCCTCCTCCCCTTGGTTCCTTCTTTCTCTCTTCCTCCCCTGTCATGCAAATTTAAATAAGATTTGCAACTGCCTGCATGACTTTAGCCTGACCTGCCACCAAACTAATGAAAACAATTAATCAGGGTGCTTCACATAAAAGTCCCTCAGATTGGTAACAACGTTTAAGACGGAAACCACTGGCAATGTCATAGGAAGTTGTGTTTAAATTTAAGAGAAAGATATTTCATTTAGAACCTGCTAAATGAGGACCTGCTGGAAAACAGAGCTGTTCACTGGGGAGCCAGCTGCCTTTCTTGGGGGCTTCACCTCAGAGCTGCTGAGCAGGCTGGGAGGACCGGGTGGCATCAAACAGGGCAATGGCCTGTGGCTGAACAGCAAGCAGATGGTGGGAAGAGATGGATGGGGTCGGCAGAGGGCTGGAAATGGAAGCCTGGATTAAACTATCCATCCACATCTCTGCTCCCTCAAGGTGTTCATGGCTGTTGGATGGAATGTAAACTCCGGAAGCCACCACAGAAGACCACGTGTGGATTCCTCAATAAACTAGAGTACACGTAGTATACATCCATTCAGCTATCCCAGGCCTGGGTACACCCACCAAGGCGATGACCCTGGTGTGCAGAAGACACATCCATGGCTGTGCTTTTTATTTCATTGTTCTCAGTACTCAGAAAGAGAAATCAAGGGTCTCTGAGTAGATGACCATATTAAAAGCCAACAACAATGACTACAACAAAAACTTGTCTGTGTACATAATGGAATACCATTCACAGAGAGTAAGGAGGAAATGCAGCCATTTCAGCCACACAGATGGAACTGTAGGACATTATGCTGAGCAAAGCAAGGTAGGTACCGAAACAGAATGTCGCTAAGCTTTCATTTATAAAGGGATGGAGGGAAGTAAAACTCACGTTAGCTAGCAGAGACAGGAGAATAAGGAAACAGGAGAGAGATTGCTTGCAGAAGCTAACACAGCTCTGGTCCACCACAATTTATGACACAGTACAGAATAACCAGAAGAGCCCAAAGGGTCCCCCCACCCAGCAATTATTCATAAATGGTTGCAGGAATGGAACTGTTGATTAACTTGGTCTGACCGCTGCACATTGTGTATGTGTATGGAATGGTTTTACCCTTCCCCATAAACAAGTACACATATTATGCGCAGATTAAATACATTTCCTAAAACATTCAGTGTCTTAGAGTTTCCTACAGGGATGACAGGATAGACAGAAGGATACTTTGCTTTCATTTACTTTAGTCAACACCCGCAGCAAGACACAGAGATCAAGTCTAGCCAAAGGCAAATGAGACCACGTCAGCTTGTGAGACAGAGAGTGACCACACCAACCACCTTGACACAGAGTACCTGTCTTGGGGTGGTGATGCTCCAGCAAGTTTGACTACCGTAGGAAATATGTCCATGTTGCTTGTTGGCTCATCGATCTCTAGGCCAGTCTGTATCACTCTTGGCCATCGAAGGATGCCTGGTATCCGAATACCTCCTTCCCAATTGTTTGCTTTTCCTCCTAAAATTACCAAAAGAGAGATAACAGGGAGAGTTCAAACTCTTCCAAGTACTCCAATTACATGGATTGAATGAGTTCATCCAAAGCAATGCAGTGCATGTTTTAGTAAAAAAAAAAAAAAAAAGACATGGTCAGCACTATAATAGACACGGTCAGCACTGTGCTGACTGTGACCCATGATTTTGCAAGTAAGAAGCCTCAAATCTCAAAGTCACAGCAACTCATATCCATGACTTTGAAGTTGACAGTACACATTTTATTTCTACTGGTCACCAGATGCGTTAAGTAAGAGAGTCAAATATCCACATTCATATTCTGGGGACCTTATCAGCAAAAGGAACTTTGAGAATGAGATGAAATATTTTGAGCCCAGGAATTGATCTTGGGTTACAACAGTGAGTCCAATGGCACCACCGTGTTCTTATCAGGGAAAGAGGGAGGAGAAGACACAGGGTCAGAGAAGCCAAAGTTGTCACCGTAGGCAGAGAATGGAAGATGGAACTCTGTTGGCTTTCAACACTGAGTAGAACAGGCTGATCAAATGAAAGCAAGAAACTTTGAGAAGCTGGAAAAAGCAGGTTCTCCAGTAGAGTCTTCAGAGAGAGCAGAGCTATGGAAATACGTTGGCTTTTTAGACCAGAAAGACCTGCTTTTTGTACTCGCAGAAACATAATGCAATAAACTCAAGTTGCTTTCAGTCACCTAATTTAGAAGAGCCAAATGGCAAAAAGAAACAGCCCTATGCCCTTGGACAAAATTCCCAGTGTCCTGTGCACAGAATGATTATCCAAGGTGCCTTTAAGAACCCACAAAATGAGGCCACGGTCACCAAGTTTACCTGAGCTCCAAGCTATCTCTTGATGGCTGGTTAAGGAAACAAGTTTTGCACACAGCCAGCAATTACAATATAATTAAATAAAGCAAGGAGAGGTCTCAAGATGGTCTACAATGGGGTACCCAGAAAGATCAGTGTCAGTAGACAATGTCACAGGTTGTCAGTGTCCCACAGATTATGCATGGGGATGGTTGGGCAAACTGATTCATTGTTTTTATTCCATAGTCTAGAGCCATCTAAGCAATTTTAAAAGTTAGGTTGGAAAAAAGGCAGCCAGGCTGAAGATCATCAGTGGAAAAGAAAACAACTAGATTCAGGGAAAAAAAAATGTTAGGAAGCACGAATCAGAGTTAAATGATTGATCAAGCTAAAAGTAACATTAATTCTTAGTAGAGATATGATGCATGACTCACAGCAAACAGGAATGTCATCTACATTTAGAAAGTCAAATTTTTATTAACATTAGTTTCAGGGATCTTAAAGCAAGAATTCATGGCTAAAAGACAGTGTTTTGCACTCAAACGCTAAACTGAATTCTGCTCATCAGCAAGAGCTTTCCATGGTGGACACACACCAGAGAAAAATTCATTCACAAAATCATGCCATAGTGCGTAGTTTCTATGCCAGCTCCAAAGAAAGCTAAACGTCCTCCTCCTATGAGAGCATTTCAACATCACTTTGAGGGTAATGATCTGACATGCGTGCTATTCTAGCGTCAGGGCTATCTCTTCCAATAAGTGGGAGGTTTAGCTGGTTTGCAGTGTTCTCTCAAGCTGTCAATAGCAGAGCCACATGAGGAACGTGAACATGCCAAGCACAGTCTTGTCACTCTCCTCAGTCAAGGCCATAGGGTTTTCACAAATGTACTTTCTCCTCCTCTTCCTCCTCCTCCTCCTCTTCCTCCTCCTCTTCCTCTTCCTCCTCCTCCTCCTCTTCCTCTTCCTCCTCCTTCTCTCCTCCTCCTCCCCTCCTCCTCTCCTCCTCCTCCCCTCCTCCTCTCCTCCTCCTCTTCCTCTCCTCCCCCTCCCCTCCCCCTCCCCCTCCCTCTCTGCCTCCTCCCCTTCTGTGTATTCTCTTATGGTTCTGGGACTTGAACCCAGGGTGCTTCCTCTGAGTTATATTTCTGGCTCATTTTCAATTTCATCATTTGTGGTACAGTCTTGCTGAGTCACTAAATTACCCAGGTTAGTCTCAAACCTGTGGTACTCCCATCTGAGTCCCCCAGAATGACTGAATCACAGGTATGTGTCACCACACCTGGCTGCCTTATTATCTTTCCCTTCTACCAAGCTCATGCTATTTGCACTTTAAATTCAGCAATCACAACAAAAGAGACCACAAAACAAAGACTAGTTTCATTAATAACTCTGGTACACACATAATGGCCAACAGTCAAGATAAATCAGGATCAGTAAATGGGAAATGGGATTCAAATCTTAAAACAAGCAAAAAGTATCCTTGGAAAAATTTACTTCTGCAACAGAAAAAACAAAACAAAACAAAACGTCTAGATCCTGTAAGAGAAAAAAGGATCTTGGTGGTAAAAACTAGCAAATTTGAAATTATTTAAAGCTAGCTAAGAGGAGGAATGAAGGTGAATTTGGAGACATACTCCATGGTTATGGTAATGCAGCATGAAAGTATGCAGAGAATGTACAGGAACTTTCTTCAAGACTTCAGTGATTCTTCAGTGAATCAAAAATGGCTTTGATATGCACGTGTACCTATAGGGTGAGCTCCCTTGTTCCAAATGCTTAGATCCATGTGTGATAGCTCACAGTCAAAAGTTCACAGTCTAAAAGTACTAGATAAAATTATTGCTGCAAACTATGCCATGTGCTAAAGGTGTAGAAAATACAAGTGAGTTTCACGTTTAGATTTGTGTTCCTTCTCCCAAGATATCTTATTGTACACATGCATGTATTCCCAAAATCTCAGAAACAGAAAATAATCTGAAATCCACAGAATTTCCCACTCATAGCATGATGTAGTCACTCAAACAGTTTCAGATTCTGAGAGCATTTTGGATTGCATATTAGGGCTATTCCACATATATACATAGGCATGTATATAAATTATATATGATGGATTTATATGATATAGTAAAAGCCTTAGTATATGGGAATATATAAAACATATTATGTATGAATCAATAAGCATTCACTGTTCAAGTCAAAGGAGTAGAAACAAGCTGATGAATTCCCTCAGAAGGCTGCACAAGGATGGTTTCTTGGCAGCCACAATGGTTAAAGTTCCTTGCTCACCTATAGAAGAAGACATCTCACCTCACTAACTAGCCCCAGAGGGTGCCACCATTTCTCTCTGAGTTGGAGAAACATGGCCTGAGGCTGAGACAAATCAATGTGGAGAAAGTGACTCCTTCAATGGCACAGTCACAGATAGGAATCCAGCTCTGTCTACCTCTGCTGTAGTCAGGGGTTGTACACAGAGAACAATTCAGATCAGGACATGGAGTTTATAATATTTTTATAATGGTCACTGGAAGTTAACACAGGAGAATGCAGGAAATCTATCTGCAACACCAATGACATAGAGTATTTAGTCAAGAGTCTAAACCCCATGGCAATGTCGCACATGAGTCCAGATAAAAACCCAGAGCTCAGGACAATGCCTCCACGAGTTCAACTGGAGGCCCAGAGCCCACAAGAAGGACTCATGCCAGTCTCTTTTACAGATCCGTGCCGGGAAGACCCAAGGGTCAGTGGTGGAAGCCAGAAAGTCTATGCCAGCAGGGTGAAGGAGCTGTGCTGGTGAGATGAGGGTTCTACGCTGGAGCCGAGAAGTCACACTCACAACAAAGACCAGGGCTGTCCTGAAAGGCACCATAGCTGTCCTAAGTGACACAGAGGCCCCGAGCTCCGATGACGACAAGCACAGTTGGGTACGTGCCAGGAAGCAGCGTGACAAGTTCATCCTGAAGACCAGGCAGCACATGTCTTCCCCTCTGGAGCCAGGAAGCCGTGCTCAATATGAAGACCAAAGCTTCTCCAGGAGAACCAACAGCTCACACAGCAACTCGTAAGAGAACCCACAATGCCTCCTTCACGCCTCAATCCCTTCCAACACCTCTCTTCTTCTCCACCGTTTATCCTGGCAACCCTCCTCAGGTGGAGCATCTTCTCTCAATGCATGCTGATGTAATCCAGCTGGCATTAAGTTGACCACCAGTTCTCAAACCATAACAACCTCCAAAGCCTGTGGGTTTCTACAACTCAACATTATGCTTGCTTTCCAGCTGCTGAATTTGTACCCAGTTGTCTACACACTTCCGGAAGAGAATCATATGTCCCTCATATTTAGAAACTCAAAGAGCCACATCTGAATGGCAGAATAAAGAACTGTGCCATTGGGCAAATTTTCTGTTCTCCCAGGATTTAAAACATGCATCAATTTGGGGGCATAAGGCGATGCCCCAGGTGGGCACACTAGGTTCTCACCAGGTGATGGTGCCAGGCACACCTGGTTGCACAGCCCCATGAGACAGCAGGTGATAGAAAAAAAAAAAAGGTTGTTTAAAATGAAAGACCAAAATGCAATCTCAAACACCCAACCCATTCTCCCAAGAAAGCCTACGAGCCACGTACATAGAAGAAAATACATGCCATGACTTCACTTGGAGACCTGCTGAGCTCCCGATAGGTGGGCTGGCCCACACTACCAGCCTACCCAGCCTGTTTAGCTGCCGCGCCTGACCATAGGTCTGCAGAGGAGGAGCTGGGCAGATCTGGGGTGCCCTCACCGGCCTCTCTGCGTGTCTGGAGGACTCTGGATATCTCCGCCCAGACTGCTGGAGTTCCCCCAGACTTCCAGGTACAGTGAAGGGGCGAGGTGGGTTTGAGGCTTCCACATCAGCCTCCCCATTCCGGCTTCACTTGGAGACTTGCTGAGCTCCTGATAGGTGGGCTGGCCCACACTACCAGCCTAGCCCAGCCTGTTTAGCTTCACTTGGAGACCTGCTGAGCTGCCAACAGATGGGCGGGCCCACACTATCAGCCTAGCCCAGCCTGTTTAGCTGCCTCGCCTGGCCATAGGTCGGCAGAGGAGGAGCTGGGCAGATCTGGGGTGCCCTCACCGGCCTCTCTGCGTGTCTTCAGGACTCTGGATATCTCTGCAACCAGGGAGGGTCCACAGGTTCCTGAAGCAC